TGTGATTCCAGACTTCCCGTCTCCAGGAACCGAGACAATGAACTGCTGTTTAAGCCACCCAGTTTGTGGTACTGTGTTATGGCAGCCCTAGGAGGCTAATACAGTTCAATATTTGAAAATACCTTGGAGATCATGTAGTCCATGTTACAAGGAATTCTGCTCAGAAAGGTGGAGTGATTGGCCCAGAGCCTCTGCTTTACCATGATCAGAACTGGGCATTCTAATACCTGCAGTTCAGGATGTTTTTGTTGTTTGGTTGTTTTTATACTGGTTTTTACAGAGGCCAACAGGCAGAGATCAATGCCAAATGGATTTGGCAAATATTGAGCAGCTCCAAGAAGAAAGCAGAGGACCAGAACGAGCTGATAGAGAGGACTTCAAGAGCGTGGGGTGGAGCCCAGCTGGTGTGGCTCAGTGGATAGAGTGTCAGCCTGTGGACCAAAGGGTCCCGGGTTCAATTCCGGTCAAGGGCACGTACTTTGGTTGCAGGCTCCTCCCTGGCCCGGGTCCTGGTCAGAGTGGGTGCAGGAGGCAACCAATCGATGTGTTTCTCTCACATCGATGTTTCTCTCTGTCTTTCCCTCTCTCTAAAAATCAATGGAACAATATGCTCAGGTGAGGATTAACAACAACAAAAAACGTGTAGGGTGGAAATGCCAGGAGCTTCACACATGGCGGGGAGCCTGCTAGGAAAGCCACCAAAAAGGGGGGCAACATAGAGAAAGAAGGCCGTCAGTAGGCCAGAGTTGTGTGACCGACCCAACAATCAGTTTTAGAACATTTGCAGCATGCCAGTAATACATCTCATGCCCAGCAGCAGTCACTGCCCATCTCCTTCCAACCCCCAGCCCCGGGCAACCACTCATCTACTTTCTGTCTCTATGGATTTGCCTGTTCTGGACATTTCACACAAATGGACTCAGACAACATGTGGTGCTGGTGTCTGGCTCCTTTCACTGATCATATTTTCAAGGTTCATCCATGTTGTAGCATGTGTGAGTACTTTATTCATTTTCACCACTTTATTCATTTTTATTCAACATTATGACATATAATATTGCATTGTATGCATGGACCATGTTTTATTTACCTTTTGATTAGTTGATGGATTTGGGGCCATTTTTGAATGGCCAAACATGTTAGTTGTGCAACAAGCATTTGTCTATTAAGTATAAATTTTGAATGAAAGTGGAAGATGGATGAGATGATAGATGAAATATTCCAGGCCTAATCATTTTACATCCTCCCCAAAGCTGGTACTAGGGGAGAATGGAGCCTTGGAAAATAAATAAAAGAAGTTTGGAATGTGTGAGACCTATTCTTTCTCAATAGAAGGGATCAACCAAAGGACTTGTGTGCACGCATATAAGCATAACCAATGGATGCAGACACCAGGGGGGTGAGGGCATGTACGGGAGTGGGGTGGGGGGGGCAATGGGGAGATAAGGACACATAGGTACTACCTTAATCAATAAAGACAATTGATTGGAGCTCAGAGGCCTGGGAGACCTCCCAGAGAGTCCTTCACACACAGATGCTGACTGTGTAACACAGACCCCTCTCCCACAGCCCTCTCTTCCTTCCTCTTTCACCCCAAGGAAACATGCTCACCTGCCCCCCGCCCCACTCAAGGCCTGGTCTTGGAGAGGGAAGGAAAGATGGGTCACCATTGGTCCAAGGACCCCCACACATGCACTTTGACACAATGACAACTAGTGCACACAGTAGGTGCTCACTTCGTTTCTATTGCATGAACAGTGAAGCATTTGAGTAGGAGCAAGCGCCATCCACACAGGGGAGAATTCCTCTGAGTGAGTCTCCACTTGGCAGCAAAAGGCTCTGAGAGCGCGGAGGACCTGCCTGGGTCTGACTCCCCGCCTGGGTCTGACTCCCCAGGTCGCTGAAAGAACTCCATCCTGGCAGATTCCTCCTAACGTCTATGTCCTTTGCTGAGGACAGTGGGAAGCGCTTGGTTCAGCTGGCTGTTCCAGGATCAAGGTGGATTTCAAGGCAAAGAAAGCCTAGCACTGCCCTGAAAAGATGTTAGATTCCTAACGGCGTGAGAGGGGCCTGTTTCTCCAGCTTTATGGAAACTGCACCTATTGGTTTTCAGGGCCAGAGATCACGAGGGAAAAAGTGAATACAGGAAACAGCTATGGTGTGAATACCAGTCAGGGCCCTGAGCCAGCTCTTTGCTGTCGTCTCGGGCTTCTCTCCTCCTGCCTCCATGGAACCGTCCCTGTCTCCGTCATCACCCAGCTGAGTCATCACATCAAGCTCAGTAACGCTTCTCTCAGTGACTCTCAACCTGTCCTCCCATGGGGCTTCTCCCTCTTCACGCCATGATCACCATCAGTCAATAACATTGTATGGAAATTTGCATTGGGTAGTTTTTAAAATTTTTTATTGATGAGAGAGAGAGGTGGGGGGGGGGAAAGACATATAGACAAAAACATCAATTTCTTGTTCCACTTCTTTATGCATTCACTGGTTGATTCTTGCATGTGCCCTGACTGGGGATAGAACCCACAACCTTGGCGTATGGGCACACTCCAACCACAGGAGCTAAAGCCATACGTATGCTAAATATGCTTTTTTAACCTCCCTCCCCCTTCCCAACAGTCGCTCAGTGATTGAGCTTTGACCTATGAACCAGGAGGTCACGGTTCGATTCCTGGTCAGGGCACATGCCCAGGTGTGGGCTCGGTCCCGAGTAGGGGGCGTGCAGGAGGCAGCCGATCAGTGATTCTCTCTGACATTTCTGGAGGTTGGAAGTCCAAGATGATGGTGCTGGCAGGTTTGGTGTTTGGTGACAGCCCACATCCAGTGCCGCCACAAGGCAAAAGAGCAAGGGCAAGTTCTTGGGTGAATTTCACAACTTCCCACCTCCCAACACCACCACCTTCAGGTTTCAACATGTAAACTTTGGGAGGATACAACCACTCAGGCCATAGCATTAGGTAGAGAAATAAACTTTGGTGTTGTTGGGTCTCTTTGTTAAGGCAACTGAGCCATACACTATCCTACAAAAGAACACACAAGAATCTCTACTAGTGGGTGTCTTCAGGAAGTTAACTTGTATTGGGAGGGAGATTAAATTTCACTGTACACCTTTGTAAAGTTTGCACTTTAAAGACTTACATGCGGGTATTGGCATATCTACATTTAAAAATAACAGAAAAACAGAACAAGGTGACTTTCTCTTTAACAAATTACAGGTCTGATTTCCCCATACCAGTACCTTAAATGAGGAATAAGTGAGTTTCGGAAACAAATGTTATTAACCACTGATTTCACTACCTTCACTTTACGAAGATATTTGCAAGAAAGGCAAAACTGTCTGTGATTTTTATTCACTTTTGATTCTGTCAACAGAACACTACCGAAGTGTGTGAGTTTCACATACTTCCGGCATTATTAATGCTACTCCAAAACCTACATGTCTATTTTACCCCCAGATCAGGCAACACAGCCATGAGCTTCTACCAGACCATGAACAGAGACGAGCTGTAACTGCCCTGACCATTCTTTTTCAGGTTGCCCCTTCCTGGAATGATCCTGCTTTCAGATATTTGTGCCCAGGCCTTAACACACACCAGCAAAACATGGTCACAAAACGGGGTTCAATGTTAAAGCTAAAATTGTCCTTGGCAAACTTGTGCTGACTTCCACTGTATCCATACTAAGTGACACTCGGACACAGCATTTTGTTCAATTCCTTGGAAAAACAGATTTAAAGAGAACTCATCCTGCGAGATTAATAAGAGACTGCATGTACTTAAGGAAGGATGGTGCATTAGAGAGTTTTCTTGTTTTCATTCTGAAGAGACTTTTCTTTCTTTTTCTTTCTCTCTCTCTCTCTCTCTCTCTCTCTCTCTCTCTCTCTCTCTCTCATTAATGCTACCCCAAAATATTTTCCCATTGATTTTTAGGGAGAGTGGAAGAGAGAAGGAAAGACAGAGAGAAACATCGATGTGAGTGGAACACATTGATTGGTTGTCTCCTGCATGAACCCCAACCAGGGCCCAGGCTGAGGAGGAGCCTGCAACTGAAGTACGTGTCCTTGACCAGAATTGAACCTAGGACCCTTTGGTCTGCGGACCAATGCTCTATCCACTGAGCCAAACCGGCTAGGGCTCTACCAACCATTTTTAAGAAGTATTCTCAAAAAACCCAGTGTAGATGCCAATCTCTTTGATATTATAGATCAATTTCCCTATTGTATATTTATCATATGCTCATTATGTGAAATGAAGCATTTTTAATTATTCAAGACTTTCAGCAATGACAATTGACAGGTACTCCAAATACTTTTAATTTAGATAAGTACTCTAAAAAAATGGTTAAGAAGTAAAAAAGTAAGCCACTTAAAAACTACATAAGCCTTTAAACGACATCTACACCTTAGAAGGCAAATATTATAGCCAATTTTTATAAGAGTAATTCTAAGAGAAAGACTAGCACAACCACAGCATAATAAAATCATACAGCCATGGATGTACGATAAATCGAAACAGCCACTTAACATCAGAACTATTAGTTACAGTTCCCAAAGTTCTTAGTGAAAAGAAGGTGGAGTAGGCCACTGCTCAGATGGCTGACAATGACCCCCACCTCCTGATAGTCACAATCTCTGATGGAGGCCGTTACAATCACCCCCCACCTTCGTCATAGACTAGTTTCCCCGGAAGAAGATGACCATTCCCACTGAGTGGGTGGGACCTGTGATTTCCTTCTAACAAATGGAAAATGGCCAAAGAAATGGGCTAGCACCTCCCTGATTAGGTTACAAGAAATGGTGACTTCTCTCTTGCCAGCAAGCTCTCTCTCTTGGCCTGGCCGGTGTAGCTCAGTGGTTGAGTGTCGACCTATGAGCCAGGAGGTCACAGTTCCATTCCCGCTCAGGGCACATGCCCAGGTTACAGGCTTGATCCCCTGTGTGGAGCGGGCAGGAGGCAGCCGATCCATGATTCTCTCTCATCATTGATGTTTCTCTCTCTCTTTCCCTCTCCCTTCCTCTGTGAAATCAATAAAAATATATTTAAAAAAACAAAACAAAACAAAATAAAACAAAACAGAAAAACCTCTCTCTCCTGCTGGCTTTGATGAAGCAAACTGCCATGTGGGAGAGTCCATGTGGCTGAGAACTGAGAGCAGCCTTTGGCCAACAGCCCAGAAGGAAGCGAATCCTGAAAGCAACCACATGAGTGTGAGCTTGGGGTTTCTCAGAGACTGCAGTCTTAACCCCAAGAGATGCCCGTGGCCCTGGTAACACCTAGATTGCAGCCTTTGAGACACCCCGAGCAGAGGACCTGGCTAAGCCAGACTGGACTCCTGACCCACAGAGACTACAAGATAACAAATTCTGTCATTCTAAGCCAGTATGTTCTGGGGTCATTTGTTACACAGCAATAGCTGGCTAAGACAGAAGAGTCGTTGCTGTGCCTTTGTCTTACGTTGAGAAACCATGATTTAGCATCAGTTAGTATTGCTTAATGGAGTCAACATACAAATTGTTATACCGCGAATCGTTTTCTGTTAGGACCACATTTTTCAGACTTTGCCAGAACAAGACTTCCGCCTTGGGGTTGTCAGGCCATTGGAGGATGGAACTCTTGCAGATTCTCTGCCGTAGCCTCAGATACTGAGAGTGTTGCAGCACTGGCTCCAGCAGAATAAATACAATCACGTCCATGTTTTCATCCATCAGCCTCTGCAAGGCCAAGTAGAACGCTGTTTTGAAGCTCCAGCTTCTGGCATACTTTCTGGTTAAAACAAATATCGTCTTCTTGCTTTGGTTGATGCTCTGCATGAGGTTATCAATAATGGCCAATCCCGGGTCCCAATCCCGCTCCTCCAAACACAGGAGAACGTTTTTTTCTTCACTCTCTTCCAGGTGGAAGCGCAGCTCATTGATCACCCAGTCCGTAACGGAGGCATCTTTGGTGTCGTAAGACACATAAGCATCATAGAAAGTTTGGGATGTGGAAAGAGACCTATAGCCTTTGACCTTGGCTAAACACACATGATAAATAAACCAAACATCCCAGTAAAACCAGTGGTGAGCCAGAGCCGCCAACATAACTGTGAGAGTCAGGAAAGATGTGAAGAAACATAATATGGCCGCAATGGTGTCTGAAACGCACGTGGTGAGCTCTAGAGTCACAATACTCTTCCCTATTTGATCCCCAGGACTGCTGCACGTGACATCTGTCAGCCGAGGAATTGTGACATTCAAATTTTCATCCATCCATCTTAGAAAATCTCCCATGTCGCAGGTGCAGTCAAAGGGGTTTCCATCTAGTCTCAAAAGGGCTAAGTTGCTGTTCTTGTTCGTCTGAAACGTCGATCTGTTGATCATCTTGAGCTTGTTGGAACTTAAGTCGAGGGTTACCAGGCTGCTGTTTTCTGAAACGAAGCCAGAGGGCATGTGGGCAATTATGTTTTCACTCAGTAGCAGCGTCTGAAGAGAGGATGCGATTTTAGATAGGCTATCCGTTAAGTAATACAGACAGTTTCTACTTAAGTCAAGCAACTGGAGCTGAGGAAAGTGCAGGAGTAGCGTCCAGTTGAAGAAACGTAACTTATTATCATTTAGATACAGTTTGGTGAGGTTCCTGGGCAGGTTAATGAAGGCTTGTTTGGGGATACGCTCAAGGTTATTGAAGGACATATCCAGCTCTTCCAGCACGTTGAGATTCCTGAAAATGCACATGTACCTCTTATCTGCGGCCTTCCACAAAACATCCAGGCGGTTCCCACTGAAAACTAATTGTTTCAGGGAACTGCTGCTCAGGTTGTACTCCGTCAGGGTATAAATGTTGTTCTGACTCACATTCAAAACTTTCAGCTTCGTTAAATTTTTAATAAATCCCAGCCGGTGTGTTACCCCTGCGATTTGGAAATAGTGCTCATTGTTGCTCAGATCTAGCACTTCTAACTCAGGCAACTCGTTGAAAGCACTATCGGCATCAAAGTCCAGTTTATTGTGTGAAAAATCCAGATATTTGAGGTGGGACAGAGCTGAAAACTCACTCCCATTTAATGCTTGACCATTGCCATTCGAAGACAGATTTAAGCAAGCGATTTTAGGGAAATCTTTGAATTGCTTTTGCCCGATGAAGAAAATGTTGTTCAGGCTTAAATCGATGGCTTTGCCATAACGTACACATTCTGGCTTTATTAACGGCTTGGTGCTGTGATAAAAATTCGAATGGGGGTCAAAATCGCTATCGGCTGAGCGGGGTTTGAGGACGTGACTGTGGCCTGCAGAAAGACGCACACTACTTTGCCTAGTACCATTGACCAAGGGCGAAATTCTGTTTGCCGACAAGTAAATGACGTTCAGGTGTTTGGGCTGCTTGAAAATGGTAAAATCGATTTGATTAATAAAGTTAACGCCCAAGTTGATTGTCGTTAATTTCGACAGGTTCATCAGGGGCTGGAAATCTTTATACCGAAGTTTCTGGAACACATAACCCCTTAAATGCAAAGACCGGAGACAGGTAAGCTTCGAGAAGTTTGGGGAAAGAGTAATAAACTCTAAATATTGTGTCTTTACATAGTTATAAGACAAGTCCAGTATTTCCAAGGAGGGCAGTTTCGTTAAAAATTCCCCAGAGGCGATTTCTTGTACCAAGTAGTTGAATTCAAGATGCAGCTCCTTCAGATCACGCATCTTGTTAAACCAGTTTGAATTGACCTTCCGGAGGGAAGTGCTAGAGAGGTTGAGATATTCAAGTTGGGTCAAGTTGTCGAAAGCGTTGCCATCTATGGAAATGGAAGCATCTCCTGGGCAAGGTATACAGGGGAACGGCGCGTTGAAGCACCTTGGACAGTTCCCGCTCAGATCGAGGACCGTTAAATTTCCCAGGTTCTCGAAGTCCACTCTACGGACGGCATTGATGTTGGTGTTGCTAAGATACAGTTTCGTTAAGGATCTCGGCAGGTTGCGGGGCACCCTGGAAAGGTTATTGAAGGACAGCGTGAGCTCCTTCAAGTTGGCCATCTCCTCGAAGGCCCCGTCGGCGTTAAAAGTTTTATTACACACGTTGCCAAAATAGCAGTTCCAGCCCAAATTGAGAATTTCCAAGTTCCTCAGTCCGGAAGTGCTGTTTTTAGTGACTGAAACGATTTCGTTTTGAGTTAGGCTCAGCCACCTCAAAGACCCCGGCAAGCCAGAGGGTATTTTGTCTAACTGGTTGTTCTCAAGTAGTAACTCCGTTAGCTTTTGCAAGTTGAGGAACGCGCCGTCAGTGATGTTCATGCCTTTTTTATTTCTCCGGTAATTTTCAAAGTAGGGCGGCAGCATGGCGTTGCGGTTGAGGTTGATGGTGGTGAGATTGTGCAGCCTCCGGAAGGATCCGTTCGTGATGTGTGTGATGGAGTTATCAGAGAGGTCTAGCTCCGTGACATCTGGGCCCACGGTCTGGGGGACTTCTTGCAGTCGCCGGTTGTTGCATACCACGGTAACAGAGCTGCCATTTTGTATTTTCTCGTCGCAAGGAAAGCTTCTTCTCAAATAATTGGTCTCCGTGGAGAAGCCACAGGAATCCGAGGTTAGCAGGACAAGGCAGGTCAGCAGCAAAGACGGAAGGGTCATGTTTTCCTAAGGAAAACCAGAGGCGGGGGCACAGTATTAGAGTAGCAATACCTGTCGGTGTCTCCTGAGGAAATTAACAAGGGGGTCGCCATACTTTGTATGGCTCTTGAAGCGGGAGTTCTCTTAACCACAAAATAAATTGCATTAAAATGGGTTCAGAACCATTGTGAGTTTTCACTGTGTTCAGCTTCATGGTGCTATAGAAGTTGAAGATGGCCCGGCCGGCGTGGCTCAGTGGTTGAGCATCGACCTATATACCGGGAGGTCACGGTTCGATTCCCAGTCAGGGCACATGCCCAGGTTGCGGGCCCGATCCCCAGTGTGGGGGGTGCAGGAGGCAGCCGATCCATGATTCTCTCTCATCATTGATGTTTCTATCTCTCTCTCCCTCTCCCTCCTCTCTGAAATCAATAAAAATATATTTAAAAAAAGAAGTTGAAGATGGAGCTGAGATTTTGATGATGAGAAAACCTGGGAAACTCTTGCAGAGATATTTATCAAGGTGCCCCTCCCCCCAACCCCAATGGGCTGATGCTGAACCATGGCTCATGCTGGATCTATAGCACAGCAAGCTCTGTAGCTATCGTTTCAACCTGTTAATATAACGCTTGATGAAACCCCCCAAGGAGGGTTTAGATCCAGCTTCTATTACAGTAGCATTCGTGATCCCCAGGTAGACTGATCTCTACTATATCTCCACAGCCACGCCTCGCTATGGGCATTTCCCACAAGTTTTCTACGCCTCCATGGTGATATGTGTTAAATTCTCTTATCGCCTTACATGACAGGAAAGTGGATCCCTTCTGTTGATAATCACAACAACAAACAAAGTGCCCGTCATTGTGCGAAACACATACATGTTCTCACCCGTATCGATGCTCGCAGCGACACGGCCAGACGGGTTCTATTATCGTCCATATTGTGTAAGGGCAGGAACAAGGTCGGAGCTTAAGCAACTCTCAGAAGGGGATATATTGCAGAGTGGGGCTTGGGTCAGTGTGAGTCCAACATCCTGTTTGTAACCACTAGCTGTCACGCTACACAAGCCCGTTTTGAAATCTTCCTGCCATAGCAGCGCCTCAAACGCAGACCAGCCATTCCCAACTGCTTGCATCTCGTGGCGCACAGAAACCATCTACCAAAGGGCTGTGGCACACCAGCAATGATATCGTATTTTTTTCCGGATCCGACAAAAAATAGGTGTAACTTTCGTTGATTTACATAAAAATTAAATAACTGACAGTAGTTAATCATCCCTTTTGTTCCAAAGTGACTTTTTAAAAATGGGGTTTTTTAAAATTGATTTTTAGAGAGAGAGGAAGGGAGAGGAATAGAGAGATACAAGCATTGATGAGAAACATCATCAATTAGCTGCCTCCTGCACACACACACACACACCCCCACTGGGGATGGAGCCCAAAACCTGGGCACGTGCCCTGACTGGGCATGTGCCCTGATTGGGAATGGAACCAGTGACCTCTTAGTTTCTGGTTTGATGCCCAACCACTGAGCCACACCGGCCAGGCGCAACATGACTTTTAAAAAAATCAGGTTCCTATACTTGTATATAAGGATTCCTGGTACCAAGAATTAGCCAATCAAACACATTCTTATATGCATCCTGACCATGAAGATATAACTTTATTGCATGACCAATATATTTATGGTTCAAAGTCCTCTTTACTTAATGCTTAACGCTTAACTTTTACTAAAAGAAAGCCCTACTTTAGCTGGTGTGGTAGACAGGATTTGAAGATGGCCCCTATGCCTTTTGCCTGCTGATGTTTTTGTGGTAATTATGTTACATTGTGTGGCAAGATGGAGAAGATCAAGTTGGACTTACTAGTAATCTAATCATATGCACCTTTAAAAGCAGAGTTTTCTCTGCTAGTAGCAGAAGGGAGAGTCAGAAAGATTGGAGGCAGGAGAAAAATGGGACGCACTCATGCTGACTTGAAGGTGGACGGGGCTATGGACAAAGAATGCAGGCAGCCTTGAGCGGCTCCCTGCTGACAGCCAACAGGAAATGCCACCCCAGCCCACCCCATTTTACAGCCACAGAGAACTAAAACTTCCCTAGCTGGTTTGGTTCAGTGGATAGAGTCAGCCTGAGGCCTGGAGGATCCTGGGTTCGATTCCGGTCAAGGGCACATGCCCAGGTTGTGGGCTCGATCTCTAGTAGGGGGCGTGCAGGAGGCAGCTGATCAATGATTCTCTCTCATCATTGATGTTTCTCTCTCTCTTTCCCTCTCCCTTCCTCTCTGAAATCAATACCAAAAAAACCCCAACAAAAAAAAAAACAAAAAAAGAACTAAAGCTGACTGACAACCCGAATGAACTTGGAAATGGATCCTTATCCAGAGTCTCTAGCTACAAGTCCAGCTTGGCCAACACATTGACATTGGCCTTATGAGACCTAGACAAGCCAGACACGCCTACCCAGCCTCTGACCTACAGGAAATGCAGCTAATAAGTGGGTAATATTTGAAACCTCTAAATGTGGGGGCTATTTGTTATGTAGAAATAAAAAAAAAAGGTCTGGATAACATGTGTGAAGAGAGTTTTCATGGCTTGAAAACTGGCAGGGGCCACGCCAGGTCTGCAGACCCGGCGCCTCCCCTGGGAGACACAGGGGCGCCAAGGGACCATGAAGCTTGGGGACATGAGCAACTTTGGGAGGTGACCCGGGTTATGTTATATTTTCTTGGCATCTAAGCACACATAAGCCTGGGTGAGTTCCAAGTGTGAACATAGCTGGATTCGGAAGGCACTTCCCGATTCTTCCCTGTCATTTCCTAGCTAGGAGGTGGCCTGGGAGTCTATGTGATTCCACGCACAGCTTAGTCATTAGCTCACCGTCTAGGGCAGTGGTTCTCAACCTTCCTAATGCCGCGACCCTTTCATACAGTTCCTCATGTTGTGGTGACCCCCAACCATAAAATTATTTTCGTTGCTACTTCATCACTGTAATGTTACTACTGTTATGAATCGTCATGTAAATATCTGATCTGCAGGATGGTCTTAGGCGACCCCTGTGAAAGGGTCGTTCAACCCCCAAAGGGGTCACGACCCACAGGTTGAGAACCGCTGGTCTAGTGAGTTAGACATGAGTTAAACTCAACATCACACCATTTCAACTGTGACACCAAGAAGGATGTGATACCATAAGAGCCCAAACAGAGGAGGCTCTGACCTGCTCAGGGAGACTGGGAAAGACTTCCCTGAGGAAATGAAGCTTGAGCTGTGATTGGCATGTATAGGGCAGAAAGAAGTCCAAAGACTGGTCCAGCATATGCAAAGGCCCTGAGAGCATTCCTCCAAGTTGCCCATGCTGTGCCTTCAGAGGAGTCTTGGATAGGAACCAAGAGTGCCAGGGTGTGGCCCTAGCTAGTTTGGCTCAGTGGATAGAGCATCAGCCTGCGGACTGAAGGGTCCCTGGTTCAATCCTGGTCAAGGGCACATGCCTGGGTTGTGGGCTTGATTCCCAGTAGGGGGCGTGCAGGAGGCAGCCAATCAGTGATTCTCTCTCATCATTGATGTTCCTCTCTCTCCTTCTTGGTCACACCCAGGCCTCTGGCTACCAAGAGTTGTGGCTCCAAAATGACTTCAGAGGAAACCAGGTCCCAGCAGAGTGAGAAGGAACCCAGGGAGAACTTGCTGTCATTAAGAGGGAACCATCCAGCCTGCAGGGGACAAATGGCAAGTCTGCCAGTAAATGCGAGAAATAACAACAATGGGGGAAAAAAGAAGAAGAAGAAAGAAAGAAGAGAGAACTAGCAACTCTACAAATAAAATAGAGGGGAAAGGGCAATTATGCAAAGAAGATGAAAAGTGGAACTATGCAAATAAAACAGAGAAGCTGGGAAGGAGAGAGGAAGGGAGGGAGAAAAGGAGGGAGGAAGGGAAGGGGAGAGGAAGAGGGGGAGCGATAGAGAGGGAGAGGGGAGAGCGAGAGGGAGAGGGAGAGGGGAGAGTGAGAGGGAGAGGGAGAGAGAGAGAGAGAGAGACTTCAGCTGTTTGAGCCTGACAACTGAAGGTTCCCATTAAAGTGACAGTAAAAGCTAGGACCCTCCAAGATCAGAGAAGGCACAGGAGGCGACCACAGCAGACAAGGGATGTGGAGGAAGGTGAGGAAGATGCCCAGTGTAGGTGGTTGGGTCGTCGGTGATGGAGCAGAGAAGCCTCAAGGTCAGCCAGAGCGAGGCCCATTCACATCCCGGCGGCCTGACTCTGGAAAGGGGGCAGCAGCCATGGCAGGGGACTGGCAAGGGGCCTTCAGGGGAGGTTGGAGCCCTGCCGGTCCCCTCCCTGAAACTTACTATCTCGAAAGGTCGAATCCGGAGCCGTGGGTTCAGGCCTCCAGGCACAACCGAAGGCCCGGACAACTGCCGAAGAGAAAACACGAGGGTGAAAGAACAGTCAGCGTCTGGAGTGTGGAACCCCGACCTCCTGGCTCCCCGGGTTCTGGGAACTCCGGCAGCCACGGGCTCCTGAGCTTCGCACTCCAGCGCCCCCAGCAGCAGACTGGAGGATCTCACTGGGAAGGCAGACAGGCACAGTAGCAGGGTCACAAGTCCACAATTTAAGGGGACACCCCAAAACTTAGTCATTGGGATAAACACTATTTAAAAAAATTAAAACACTTGACAGACAGAGAGCAACATTTAATTTAATTTAATTTAATTTAATTTAATTTAATTTATTGATTGATTGTTAATCCTCACCTGAGGCAATTTTTCCATTGATTCTTTTTAGGGAGAGTGGAAGAGAGAGGGAGAGACAGAGAGAAACATCGATGTGAGAGGAACACATCGATTGGTTGCCGCCTGCACGTGCCCCAACCAGGGCCAGTGATCAAGCCTGCAACCGAGGTACGTGCTCTTGAGCGGGAATTGAACTTGCAGCCCTTGGGTGCAATGGCCAATGCCCTAACCACTGCTCAGGGCTGGTGTAGGATTTCTTTCATTCACGCAGGTCCTGTCTGGCACAGCTTCTCAATCCCCTTTTTCATTCTGAAATTCCAAAAGGCCTGAACACCAGAAGATTTTGTAAATGTATTGGGCAGCAAACCCTGATCTGGACGGACCCAAGGCTACGGTCATCTTGATTTAGCCACTTAGCATAAGCCTCTGGTTTCACGGCGGAAACAGCCGCAGCGTGACCCAGAGCCGCTGGGAGTGAGCTGTCATGTAGCGTGCAGGTACATGTTATCTTGCTAAAATAAGAATACTCAATGTTCACACAACTCTGGTCCACAGGTGTCCGATCAGGGATAGTGGATCAATACTTCAATCTCCTTTGGTGCAGACATGTCAGCAAGTCCTGAATTTTCCTTGGCGTATGTTAAATCAAGAAATAGAATATGGCTGTTGGCGGGGCCAAGCTGTGGCGTTCATGGGCCTGAGGCACTTAGGCCTCCACGGCCCCCTTCTGCCATTAAAAAAAACACAGTAACTATTATATTTTATGATCCTTTTGGTAAAAAATGAATATAGCCCTAGCTGGTGTGGCTCAGTGGATAGACCGTCAGCTTGCGAACTGAAGGGTCCTGGGTTTGATTCTGGTCAAGGGCATGTACCTCAGTTGCAGGCTCCTCCCCAGCCTGTGCCCTTGTCGGGTCTTGTGTGGGAGGCAACCAATCAATGTGCTTCTTTCACATCGATGTTTCTGTCTCTCCTTCTCCCTTCCACTCTCCCTAAAAATTAATGGAAAAATATCCTTGTGTGAGGATAATACAAATGAATATAATTCAGGCTAGATTATAGTCATTATTTTGCTGATTTCTAAAGCAATTATAATATTTCCTTAAAGTATCATGAACCTGCTCTGGCCGGTTTCCCAGTGGTTAGAGCACCAGTTTGCACACTGAAGAGTCTTGGGTTCAATTCCTGGTCAAGGGCACGTACCTGGGTTGCAGGTTTGGTCCTGGTCTTGATCGGGGTGCGTGCGAGAGGCAACCAATCGATGTGTCTCTCTCACATCAGTGTGTGTGTGTTTTCTCTCTCCCCCCTCTCTCTCTTCCGCTCTCTCTAAAAATCAATGGAAAAAATATCCTCAGGTGAGGATTAACAACAACAATAAAACGCGTCATGAGCCGCAGGCCCTGTGCCTTCTGTGCCTAAGGACAAGTCGGCCCTGGTTGTCAATGAGGGCATAACGGCTCAGATCAGGCCCCCGAGACAAGTAGGAGGTACTTTCTGGAAAGTAGATTCAGTACTAGACTGGGAGCTGGTGACTTAACGGACCAGCATTGCCTGGAAGTGGCAGAACAGAGGGTCAGAAAAGGAAAGTGTTGCAGGTTGAACCGTGTCCCCCTACAAAGGCACGTTGAAGTAGTTTGAACCTCTGGACATGTGAATGCGGCCTTATGTGGAAGTAGGGTCTTTACAGATGGAATCAAGGTCATACTGGGTTAGTGTGCGCCCCAATCCAATGACTGATATCCTTCTAAGAAAAGGGATATTTGGTCCTAGCCAGTTTGGCTCAGTGGATAGAGCACTGGCCTGCGGACTGAAGGGTCCCGGGTTTGATTCTGGCAAGGGCACATACCCGGGTTGCAGGCTCGATCCCCAGTCGGGGGCGTGCTGGAGGCAACCGATCCATGATTCTCTGTCATCTTTGATGTTTCTCTCTCTCTCCCTCTCCCTTCATCTCTGAAACCAATAAAAATCTATTAGAAGAAGAAGAGGGACATTAGATACATGCAAACACAGGAAAGAAGGCCATGCGAGGATGGACACAGAGATCAGAGTGAGGAGGCTACAAGCCAAGGACACCGAGGACTGGCCTGCTCCGCCGGGAGCCAGGAGAAAGGCATGAGACGGTTTCCCGCTGAGCCCACGAGAAGGACCCCCCTCTCCCCCGTGGACAACACCTAGATGGCGCACTTCTGGCCTCCGCTATCGGGAGAGGAGACATGTCTGTTGTTTCCAGCCACGAAGTTTGGGCGACTTTGTTACGGCAGCCGCAGGAAGCAGAGAGTGAGAGCAGAGAGCGGGTGAGTGTTAATGGAACTCACTGTCAAGAGATGTTCAAGCTGCCGGCACAAAGCCCTTGGGCTGGACATGGCCTTGGTGAGCTCACTGCGCAGAACACCCTGAGGGTGACCAAGTCTGCGTGGTCTGGACCTTTCACCGGGTGTGGCTTTGGAACACCCACAAAAAATCCAGACCCGTGTCTTTAGACAAAGCAATCTGCTTAACTTCCCCTCCCGGCCCAAGCCAGCTGTTGCTGGCTACGGAGGAAGCGATTTCACAACTGTTTTCCTATTTTCCGTACAGAGTCAGTTCTTCGGTTGGGTCCATGGCACATGAAAAGCCAAAACTCCTCGGGTTCGGAAGGAGCCAAATAGTATGATAAAAATGACCTGTCCCACCCGGCCAGTGTGGCTCAGTGGTTGAGCGCCGACCTATGAACCAGGAGGTTGCAGTTCGATTCCCGGTCAGGGCACAGGCCTGGGTTGTGGGCTCCATCCCCAGTAGGAGGCGTGCAGGAGGCAGCCGAACCATGATTCTCTGTCATCATGGATGTTTCTCTCTCTCTTTCTCCCTTCCCCTTCCTCTCTGAAATCAATAAAAAAAATATATTTTCAAAAACAAAACACAACCTGTCTCAGTCCTTGTCTAAACCTTCCTTCTCAACTTGGACCCCAAAAACACAATTTGAAAAGACCAGCATAGTTGGAAGAACAGCTCGGAGAAGTCTGCCTTACCTGAGGATCTCTGGGACTCAGAGTAAGCCAACGGCCACCCCCAGGACCCAGCCCAGAGACTGCCCTGCCTTCAGCGCTCAACCCCCTCCTGGGCTGGGTCCTGGGGGTGGCCGTTGGCTCACTCTGAGGCGAAGGGGGGTCTACCAGATGCCCAAGGCTGCCTTTCTGGGATCAAGCGCTTCTTACCTTTTCACACCCATGTCCTGGGTTGCCAGCAGAGATGTCGCAACAAGCGTCCTTCCTTCTCTCTTTTAAAGGCTTCCTTTACCAAGATGTGATTTTCCCAGGTGCCCAGCTGCACCCCTTTCTCAGCATGAGTCCTGCTGATTGCCCCCTAACACTATAGGCCAGGGGTGGGCAACCTTTTTGTGAGTGCGTTCCCAAACCAGCAAAATCTTTGACTCAAAATTCTTCTGCGTGCCAACCCTAATTTTTTGAGAACATGTTACGCCTACTTGATATCTCTGAAGGTGTACGTATGTGAAGAACCTTGAAGAAATAATAAAATTCATTCGAGCGACAAACACACAGTCCATGATGATGAAAAATACATTTATTTTTTAATGTATACATGTTATGTAAAATTATTTATTTATCTAAGATGCACCTACACTGAATTTATCTGAAAAATAAAAAAGTCGATATTAAGAAAAAAAACTGTAAATGGAAGATTATAAGAGAGGGTTTCCCGTGCCAGCAAAAGTTACTGGAGTGTCATGTTTGGCACGCGTGCCAGGGGTTGCCCACCCCTGCTATAGGGTCAAGAGGACCTATTGATTATAAGATGTGATTCATCCCCCAACTGGATTGCTTAGCTGCTTGGGCATGATGTGGGATTCAACCAGAACGGAATTTTTGCCAAGAAAGAAATATTTCTCTCTCTTTTTTAATCCTTACCCAAGGATTTTTTTAAAATTAATTTTGAGAGAGAGAGAGAGAGAGAGAGAGAGAGAGAGAGAGAAGAGAGACACCTGGATTGGCTGCCTCCCACAAATACCCCAACTGGGGCAGGGATGGAGCCTGCAACCCAGGTATGTGCCCTTGACTGGGTATCAAACCCATGACCCTTTGGTGTGCTGGTTGATGCTCTACCACTGAGCCACACCACCCAGGGGTATTTCTAATTTTTAATGGGTGCTGATTAATTTGTAGTTGCCTATATTGACCACTGATGATATATTATGAAAAGAAACTAATAAAGAAATGGTTGTGAGATAGGATTTGTCACCTCAGATGAAATTTACAGTTAATAATAGATATTTTCTTTTATCCACAAATACCGTATTTTGTCCAAATTTGATGGACTCATGAACAGCTTTGGAAGATGAAAGAAACCTCTATCACATTAAATGGACACATCAATGAACAGATGGATCCTGATTTTACATAAATAAAAAATATGAAAGCCCAGCCAGCGTGGCTCAGTGGCTGAGCGTCAACCTATGAACCAGGAGGTCAGGGTTCGATTCCCGGTCAGGGCACATGCCCGGGTTGCAGACTTGATCCCCAATGTGGGGCGTGCAGAAGGCAGCCAATCAATGATTTTCTCTCATCATTGATGCTTCTCTCTCTTTCTCCCTCTCCCTTCCTCTCTGAAATCAATAAAAATATATATTTTTTTAAAAAAGGATTCATTCTTTTAAAAAATATGAAAAATTATGCTATTTGAATTCTGGGAAATATGGCAGGGAACACTTGGTGAGTGCTTTACCACAGGCAAACACTGGGTTGAGTGCGAATAACGCATTTTCTTGTTTAATTCTCCTATAAATCAGAAGCTCCCATTTCACAGACTTGGAACATGAGGCTCAGAGAGTCTACTTTGCCCAATGTCACTCGGACAGTAGGTGGCAGAGCTGAAACTGAGCCTACACGTAATTAACAGATTGGTAGGGCCGCAACCAAGAGGCTAGTTGACAATGATCTGGTTTCCATGATCAGCAACGTCCTCATAGCCATACCTGGAACCTTCAGGATTCAAGTGCTGGCAGATTACCCACAATGCCTTTCTGCACCCCTCAGTCTATCATGGAGCACTCTGTAATCCCGTAGAACGACTGGAAATGCACTGATTTTCGCCTTATACGCCCACCGACAGCTCATGTAGCCACCTGAGCAGGCCACCAGCCTGCGCTTGCTAATGCGGACCCAGAACCATGGGCTGTGCATCTACATTACTGTGTCCTCATAGCCCTGAATAGTCATACAGTGGGGACAATAGTTCAAAAATAACAAATCCAGCATCTCCGTTTATTTATTTACTATCATTTTGTAAAATATATTTCTATTGATTTCAGAGGAAGGGAGAAGGGAGAGAGAGATGGAAACAATGATGAGAGAGAATCACGGATCAGCTGCCTTCTGCACACCCTACACTGGGGATCGAGCCCACAACCCCGGGCATGTACCCTGTCCGAGAATCGAACCCTGACCTCCTGGTTCATAGGTTGACGCTCAACCACTAAGCCATGCCCGATGGGCTTTTTAAAAAAATTATTCATTTATTTATTTCTGAGAGAGAGAGAGAGAGAGAGAGAGAGAGACGAGAGAGAGACTTGTTCCACTTGTTTATGCATTCATTGGTTAATTTTGGTATGTGCCCTGCCTGGGGATCGAACCCGAAACCTTGCATATGGGGATGCTAAGGGGTTCACGAAGAAGCTTCAGGTCTTCCCGAGGACTCATCACCCCTAAAACACACTGTGCTGTTTAGTGCAAGGACCACTGGGCCGTCATGTGCTGCTCCAGGCTCCGCTTCTCAGCTGTGGCTGCACACTGACCTCCCTGGGAAGCTGGAAAGCTACAACCCCCACCCCCCACCCCCACCCCACCCCACCCCACCCCAAGATTCTGATTTATTGGGCCAGGGCTCGGCCTGGTAGCACATTTCCTAAAAGCCCCTGTGCGATTCTGATACACAGTCAAGGCACTTGACAAATATCAAGTTGACATTGACTTCAATTGCCATTCCATACACGTCATCGGCCCCGACGGCCCAGTTCTCTGTGGGCCATGGAGGTCATTCTAAAAGCATTACAACATTTTAGCGCACGATTCATTTACATTCCAGTTCTATAATGGCATCAAATGGATGCAAAAATTAACTTCAACGTAAGTATGCATTAAATGGTGATGAAATGACTCCAAGATCTTTAATAAGCACTAAATAGGTGTGGACAAAAAGGGTAAGTTTCAGATGAGCTTCTCTTGAAATCAGACTTTTTCAGTTGTTCTTAGGTCTCGTTGAATTTTCTAGAAAACATATTTTTTTAAATTATAGTTTGGCCCTGGGCGGTATGCTCAGTGGTTGGAGTGTTGGCACACGCACCGAAGGGTTGGGGATTGGCTTCCCGGTCAAGGGCACGTACCTGGGTTGCAGGCTCGATCCCCGGGCTTGGTCAGGGTGCATGTGGGAGGCAACTGATTGATGTGTCTCCCTTATATCGATGTTTCTCTCCCCCCCCCTCTCTCTTTCCCTCCCTTTCACTCTTTCTCCCTCTCTCTCTTTCCTCCCCTCCCTTCCACTCTCTAAAAATCAATGGAAAAAATATCCTAGGGTGAGGATTAACCAAAAAAAATTATAAAGTTTATTTTTCAATCTGGCAGTTTTTAACAATAACAAAAACTGACCACCGGCTCCGCCTAAACACTAGAGCAGTGGTTCTCCACCTTCCTAATGCTGCGACCCTTTAATGTAGTTCCTCATGTTGTGGTGACCCCCAATTTCATTGTTACAAATTGAACATAATGAAAGCATAGCGATTCATCACAGAAACAGTATGTAATTATATATGTGTTTTCCGATGGTCTTAGGCGACCCCTGTGAAAGGGTTGCTCGACCCCCAAAGGGGTCGCGACCCACAGGTTGAGAACCGCTGCCCTAGAGAATATGATTGTAGAACTAGGAACATGTTCCTTACACGGTCCCAACAATGAAAGTAGCAACTGATACTGAAGCTTGAGGCCCTCTTACTGCACTGATGTCCGGCTGTGCCTGGGCTCCAGCGGTGACCCGGGCCTGGGAGGGGACAGTGGACCTTTCTGTAGAAGCAGCGGGAGAGACACGTCCTACCCACTTCACTCCAACCCTGCGGGCTGTTTCTGGCAGGACCAGGAAGGAATGCCCAGTGCAGCTCCTAAGTCGCCATTTGCTTCTCCTCTTGCCCCAAATAGTAAGACCAGCGCATCTGATTGGGAAAATCTGCATCCCAGGCCACGAAACCCATTCACCTCTGTCCCTGTTCACACCATTGGCCACCAAACCATATTTCCAGGGGGGGGGGGATCACCTATTTTGTTGGAAAGCTTTGGTAAAGGAATAGAAACAGCTTACCGCTTTTCTGCTGTCGACCCTCCTAATTTCTCATGGCATAGCCCGCACGCAGCGCCGCCGTGGTACCCGCTCGGCAGCAGATGCAGGCGCAGAAGAGAAACGGGTGGACTTCCTGAAAGTGGTCGCTTTACCATCAGTGGAACGTAGCATGCGGTTTGCAGAAGTTTATATGGGAAGGAGGGGAACTTGTGATTTCTTAACTGTTGCCAAATCATTTATTGACTGTGCTTGAAAATTTCAAAACTGAAGCTAGGTGGAAGAAAGTTATTTATAAAATGATTTAAATATTCCCCGAGCCAGGCAGAGACGGTGTATTTTTGTGAGTTTGTGTGTCTGTGTAGGTGGGGGCAGGGCGGGTGCAAGGTTTCTCACCAAAATGCTAGCAGCAGTGAACTCCGGAGAGCGGAATTAGGGGAAAGTGAGGGCCAGAAATGGGGAAATGTGTCCTTTTACTTAGAAAACTCTAGGGTGTTTTTAGTTTTTTAAAAAAATATATTTTATTGATTTTTTACAGAGAGGAAGGGAGAGGGATAGAGAAGTAGGAACATCGATGAGAGAGAAACACTGATCAGCTGCCTCCTGCACATCCCCAACTGGGGATGTGCCCACAACCAAGGTACATGCCCTTGACCGGAATCGAACCTGGGACCTTTCAGTCCGCAGGCCGATGCTCTATCCACTGAACCACACCGGTTAGGGCTAGTTTGTTTGTTTTTAATCCTCACCCGAGGATATTTTTTCTATTGATTTTTTTAAGAGGGAGTGGAGGGGAGGAAGGAGGGGGGAAGAGAGAGAGAGAGAGAAAGAAACATCGATGTGAGACAGGCACATTGATTGGTTGCCTCCCGCATTCACCCTGACTGGGGCTGGGGATCGAGCCTGCAAATGAAGTACGTGTCCTTGATTGGGAATCGAACCCTAGACCCTTCAGTCCATAGGCCAATGTTCCAACCACCAAGCCAAACCGGCCAGGGCTAGGGTGTGGTTGTTTGGGGTTTTTTTAAGTTTGCGATCAATTTGTACACTTAGGATTACCCAAACTCATCTTTTGTTACATAATTTTTAGACGTAAATAATATTTGTATTGCTTCATCTTTGTTCCACACATTTCTTTCTTTTATTTTTTCATTAAATATATTTTTATTGATTTCAGAGAAGAAGGGAGAGGGAGAGAGAGATAGAAACATCAATGATGAGAGAGAATCATTGATCAGCTCAATCCTGCACGCCCCCTAGTGGGGATTGAGCCCAGAACCCGGACATGTGCCCTGACTAGGAATCAAACTGTGACCTCCCGGTTCTGGGTTCGATTCTGGTCAAGGGCATGTACCTAGGTTGCAGGCTCAATCCCCAGCCCTGAGGTGAGGGCGCGTGCGGGTAGCAACCAATCAATATGTCTCTCTCACATCAATGTTTCTCTCTCTCTTTCTATCTCTCCCTTTCCCTTCCACTCTCTCTAGAAATCAATGGAAAAATATTCGGGTGAGGATTAACAACAACAAAAAAGAATTCCATTATTCTCCTTATTAGGCGGATACTACACAAAGCTGCACTTGATTATTATATTTTGAATGTCATCCTATCTAATAAAAGAGAAACAAGGTAATTAGCCATATGTCCGCTACCCTTCCCATTGGCTAATCAGGGCAATATGCAAATTAACTGCCAGCCAAGATGGCGGCCGGCAGCCAGGCAGCTTGAAACTAACATGAGGCTTGCTTGCTTCAGTGACGGAGGACTCCAACGTTCCCCGCCTGCTGCTGCCGGCCTCTGAGCTTGCAGTTTGAAACATTGTTACAAATATAGAAGCTCAACAAAACCCCAGAAACCTGCTTTCAGCCAGCCGGGATCTCAGAGCTGGAGTTGATACAGTGTTTCGATTATAGAACCTAAACAAACCAGATACCTGCTTTCAGCAGCAGAGGCCTCAGAGCTGGAGCCAGAGCTAAAGCTGGCCCAGAATAAAAAAGAAAAAAAGGAGCAGTTGGGAGCTTCAGTCACCCACCACCCTGAAAACAGCCCTCAGCCCCTCACCCAGACTGGCCAGGCACCCCAGTGGGGACCCCCACCCTGAAGGGTGTGTGACCAGTTGCAAACAGCCATCATCCCCTCACCCAGGCTGGCCAGGCACCCCAGTGTGGACCCTCACCCTGATCCAGGACACCCTTCAGGGCAAACCAGCCGGCCCCCACCCATGCACCAGGCCTCTATCCTATATAGTAAAAGGGTAATATGCCTCCCAGCACCGGGATCAGCGGAGCTGCGAGGTCTCCCGGCACCGGGATCAGCGTGACAGGGGGCAGCGCCCAAACCCCCTGATCGCCCTGTGGCTCTGTGTGTGACAGGGGGCGGGGCCACAACCTCCCTATCCGCCCTGCTCTGTGTGTGACAGGGGAAGGCGCCCCAACCCCCTGATCGGCCCTGCTCTGTGTGTGACAGGGTGCGGCGCCCCAACCCCACGGGCCCTGCTCTGTGTGTGATGGGGTAGAGCCATAACCTCCCCATCGGCCCTGCCCTGAGTGTGAGAGTGGTGGCGCCCCAACCCCCTGTTCCGCCCTGCTCTGTGTGTGACAGGGGGCAGTGCCCCAACTCCCCTATTGGCCCTGCTCTGTGCGTGACAGGGAGGAGCTCCCAAACGCCCTGATGGGCCCTGCTCTGTATGTGACAGGGGGGAGCTCCCCAATCCCCTGATGGGCCCTGCTCTGTGCATGACAGGGGGTGGCGCCGCAACCTCCCCATCGAGCCTTCCTTGAGTGTGACAGGGGGCGGTGCCCCAACCCCCCAATCGGCCCTACCCTGAGCGTGACTGAGGGTGGCATCACAACCTCCCAATCTCCCTGCTCTGTGCATGACAGGGGGCGGCGCCCGAACTCCCCAGTCGGCCCTGCTCTGAGCCCGACCAGGGGCTGCACCTAGGGATTGGGCCTGCCCTCTGCCACCTGGGAGCAGGCCTAAGCCAGCAGGTCGTTATCTCCTGAGGGGTCCCAGACTGCGAGAGGGCACAGGCCAGGCTGAGGAATCCCCCCTTTCCCCCCCCCAAGTGCACAGATTTTTGTGCACCGGGCCTCTAGTCATTAAATAATTGTGCAGTTTCAATTTGCCTTTCGACCTGCAAAGCCTAAACTATTTCCTTTACAGAAAACATTTGCTGACCCCTGGCCAAAGGAATCGTTTGGAATGGAACAGAATGTGCTTCGTCTTGCCTTACACACCTACATTTGGAGGAAACCACATACACTGGGGACAGTGTAGATAAGGCTGACATTCATACACATACACACACACACACACACACACACACACACTCACACACACACACACTCTGTTATCATTACTTTCCCCCAGGCCTTTGGTTTCCCTCCCTGGCATAACTTCTCTCTGTGACAACATACAGACTTTGGAAACCCTTGCTATGAAGGCATGCCTTTCAGGAGTCATCGATGCCGTGGCGATTTGGCTCAGTGGATAGAGCATCAGCCTGTGGACCAAAGGGTCCCGGTTTTGATTCCGGTCAAGGGCACGTACCTGGGTGGCAGGCTCCTCTCTGGCCCGGGCCCTGGTTGGGCCTCATGCAGGAGGCGACCAATCGATGTGTTTCTCTCACATGGATGTTTCTCTCTGTCTTTCCCTCTCTCTCCCACTCTCCCTAAGAATCAATGGAAAAATACCCTCGGGTGAGGATTAATAACAACAACAACATGTCATCAGTAGCTTGGGTGGCCATTCCTAAACTGACCCGCAATGACTGGTCCCTCAGGCAATCCAGGGCCTGGTGCATAGTTTGAGAAGGGGTTGCCATACATCAGGAAACACAGCCCGCGGCTTCATGCTCACCAATACCCTTGGCGACTGTGAGATCGAAAACCTCATCTGGCCACCATCCAGTCCCTTGGTTTCCCTTGAAACCTTTGCTCAGAAATAAAGTTAATAAGGTAAGTCAAAATGACTGCCAGTCTGGTCCAGTGGCATGGCTCAGTGGTTGAACACTGACCCATGAACCAGGAGGTCATGGTTCAATTCCTGGTCAGGGCACATGCCCAGGTTGCAGGCTTGATCTCCGGTGTGGGGCGTGCAGGAGGCAGCCGATCCATGATTTTCTCTCATCATTGATATCTCTCTCTCTCTCTCTCTCTCTCTCTCTCTCTCTCTCTCTCTCTCTCTTCCCCTTCCTCTCTAAAATCAATAAAAACATTTTTTTTAAATGGCTTCCATCTGTACTGAGGAAGACCCTTTGAGGCTAGAGCATTGGTCCGCCTTTCTAGAAAAGTCAGGTGCACATGCTCTGGCTTCTGGGACACAATGTGTCATCCAGTTATAGACCTGTTAATTAGGATCTCATGAAGCATGGCACACGCTCGGGGTATGCTTACAAGCAGTCTAGCACCTGATGAGCTACTGAGGTAAGCCAGATGAGCCTTTTCAATTTTTCCACACAACCAGTACCCATAAAAGATGAAAATGAAAATGGAATCAATAGCAGAGTAGGATAGTCACTGCAAACCAGAAGTCTGGTCCCCTAAGGAAAGTGGCCAGAGGACCCAGCCCTCTGTCTGAGCTCAGAAACTGACATCTTCTTCCTTGTTCTTCCCCCTTGTCATCCACGCTGACACGGATCTTTGTTTCAAAATGAAGATGATGTGTCATTAAGCGGCCCTGCCAGGCCAGCCTACCAGGCACCATGGATGTCCCAGACACACAATCAGCAGCTGGAGCAGATGAGCCTCTCTGAGCCTCAGTTTTCTCATCTCTCAAATGGGAGAAGAGTCACACAACCACCCTCCCATGGCAGCTCTGAGGATTACATGTGTTCATGCGTGTGGAAGCCTTAGAACAGCCCCTGGCACAGAGTGAGCACTCAACAGGTAGAGCTAGTGCTACTGTTACTCCTGCTGCGGAATCCATTCATCTACTGGCTGCTGCCCACAGAAGGCCAAGAGAACCACTCTCAGGGCGCTGGCCACACCCTTCCTTGAGGTGGTGCTAAGCACCAGAGCACTCACAGGGCAGCAGATGGATTCTCCACATCCAGGCTGCGGCCAAGTCCACGGATGGAAGTACTATGGAGCCCTGGAGGTGCCTCAAGACCTAGGACAGTACCAGGTTCTGGGAATCGGTTAATTTAAAAA